TTGTCTAGAGCCATTCTGTTATTACAATTCGTTGATCTACTTTTTTCGAATGATTGGTTTTTATATGAATTGTTATTCAAGAACAAATTGCATTCTCATAAAATCTTGATTGCTGATGTCTTTAGGAATCATGAAAAATTACATGTTTTATTTAAATAAGATCAAGTGCAAAATAATTAGTATTCGTTTTTGTTGGCAAGTTAATTTTTTCAAGAATTTTACTTGTTTCATATTTCTTATAAAATTGTCAAATCGGATGTTCGCTGATTGTTCTTTTTTTTCTATGAGATCAAATTCGAATTTTGATTTAAACAAGGACTACTAACAAAACTATCCAATCGAATAATAATGTTATCAGAGAAACAAATCAAACTTAAATTTCGGCGTCACGCTCACTACTTTATGGAATTATTCTTATTAATGATACATTGTTTTTCATACAATTCCTTGTATTCGTAGATTGTAAGAAAGAGTAAAAGTTTTGATATTTGAAAATCAAAGATTTGGCTTAGTTTCTCTCAAGGTTTACGTTGTGTCTCTTGTAATTATTTATTTATCAAGGAAAATAATTAGAAACAGCACAACGTCACATATGATCAATGATTGTTCACTTTTTCGTAAAACAAAGTCGTAGTCTGAAATATACTTGTGATTCTTTTAACTCTCAGACAACAAGAAACATATAAAAGTTTTAATTAGCAACACTCTTAATAACAGCTATGAGTAGTAAGTAATGCATTATTTCTCTCAATTATGTCGTAAAACTTTCTATCTAGTATCCTCAAGTTCAACTGTTACTATTACCATTGTTACTTCAGTGACAATAACAATCGCATGCAAAAAATAGTTTTTATTTCATTTACTTACAGCTTCAAGTAAGACATTGGCAGAATGTGAGTAAATTTAAATTTATGACGTTGATAAGATCACTTTTTCGATACTAATTCTATTCTATATATTAGCAACTACTACTACTATCATATGGCCGAATTTACTTATTAATCCGGGTGCTAAAAATAGTATTCTTCTTCTTTCATGGATCAATGGTGGTACAAGTACAACAAAAATAGATTATTGTTCGATAAACTCCCGATATAATCCTCATTCTGATGCTAAACATTTTTATGACAGTTCAATTAGTACTCTAACGCAAAGTGTTCTCTTGCTTAATGGTACTCAAGAATATGCCGAATCTCAATTGGATAATGATAATTCGTCGGGTTATATTAGTTTTTATGAACGAAGTTACTCTTATTGACGCAGTACAGATAAAGCTAAAGTAACTTTAACCTTTCGAACATTGTATCAGTATTTGATATCAAACATGACTACGTCTCTATTTTTCATGCACGAGTGACTTATGAGTGCAATGATTTTCTTATCTATTACCAGTAGGAACATGTCATATCGATTACGTTATGGTATTTAATGAACACATAAGCAGCAATTCTATTGATTCATATTTGGATAACAATACTCTTCAAGTTTATTAATTGAAAATTATTTAAACAATCATTTCAAATTTAACTTTATTTCGATATATTCATATTAAATGAAAAAAAAATCTTCTAAGATATTTAATGTTTTGTTTGCTTAGAACGAATAAATCAATTGTGCTTACTGATTAGCTGCAAACAAAGAATAAAACTTAATAATAATCCAAGCATAAACAATTACACTAGCAAAGCTTGATGGCAACTCACTTAAATCATACCGTATATATATATATACATATACATATACATATATTAATCAGTGAGTTATCTTGTAGCAATCGTTATTTCTCGTTCATTAAACGATAAATATATACTGTTCACAGGACATAATATCTTATTTGATCGATATCTAAGTAAAAGAAAATAAGCATACATTAGTCTTTCATCATCCTTTTGACATTTTTCCAATTAAATATCGAAGGATATTTACTAGTACTCGAAAATGTAATTGTTCATGTGTTGAAGGTTGCATCATTCGCACATAACATACATATATGCATAAAATCTGAACCATGGTTATGATCGATCATTGCCGTTATACACGTGTAGAGAACGATGTATACAAGATGAGACAGTCATGATGATGATGATCATCACCTTACTAAATAAAACAAATTGACTTGTGAATATATATATATCTATACATATATTTGTATCACAGTATTTATTGACATTGAAGAAAAGAAATGCAGCATATCACTATCTTACTTTATATTCGTAAATGGAATCATAATTGATCCCACCCGTTTGTATGCTTGCAAATAGATCAGTCATTAAATGTATTAGTATCTCTTTCTCTTCCTCTTGTTGCTTTGTCAAGGTAAAATTCCTCATGCTATTCTATCTTTTATCCTCTAATTGATGTTTATATATGTTCATATATATATGTAGATTCTAAGTTGCAAGCAATATTAGAAGTGACGACAGTTCGACAGTTAGTCTCATCTCCTTCATGGATGGCCTCCTAGATAAGTGATGTAATCTTTTGAGAGAATAACCTTGTAATGAATTGATGCTGAGCAGAAAGAGCGACGAAAGAAGAAGAGCATAAGAGTGATCAGACATCTCAATGGATAATATCCTATAGTATATCTATTTACTTAAACAGTAGTCCATTTCTCTTCTTCTTCTTCTTCTTACGCATTTGATTCACTTGATATTTTATCTGTCACTTCTATTTAATTGTAATAGTGAACGATGTTTGAACGTGGGATCACGTCAGTTCATCGGCTTAGATCTACTTATGTCCTTAATTTATTGTTGTTGTTGTTATTATTATTGTGACTGAACAGAAGCGAAAAAAGAAACGAGAACATCGTCTCTGTCGATGTTCATGATCCTTGTACACGTCTATCTCGATTACTGTCTCATTTTATTTTCATTTCTCTAAATTCTTTTTTCTTTTTCTCTTTTGATCGCCGTCATCGACTCATTCAGATCCGAGAGAAGATGCACGAAAAAAAAACACACAAGTATGTTACTCGTAATAACAAAATCAAACCAGAACTTGAGAATAATAGAATCATACAAGTTTATAGTTTCTTGTCTACACGCCCCTTTTCTTCATCTTTTACATGTTTGCATAGACTATCAGTCTTTTCATCACTCAATCACTACCATATATCGTAGTATTTCTTTTTTAGTCCGTTGTACTCATTCTTAGTTTCTTTCATTCTCTGTCGTTCGACGCCACCATATATACATGTATACAAGTATAAAAAGATATGTTTAGTTGATACGTACTGCGTACGATCGAACATGTATAATATATCCGATTTTTGATCTCACACCCATGCACAACGACTACGCTTTATGAACTAATGATGTAAAAAAAAAAGAAAGAAAGAAATGATGATGATGATAATCACTTTTTACAAACCAAATACTGTGTGCGTCCATCTTCTGCTTCTTATCACTTTTCTTTAATATACTTTTTTTTCTCAATGTATGTCATGTTTAATAATCAATAATAAGAATAACATTACAAATATAGACGATATTTAGAAAGATGTGCATTTCTTTGTCTATATGCTCGTGCTTCTTTCTTTTCTTTCTATCTTTTAATCGTAGATCTTTCCCTTTTTTTTTACGGTTAATAGAAATTGCGCATGTGTATATGTCTCACCGAACCTGTCATATTACTCTCAAGTAAATGTGTATTGTGTTATCTCTCATATTCGTTCGAGTAATTCTAAACGATGTGTGTGTATACGAACGCGATTTGTGACAGTTTCGCTTCATATACTTGAAAAAAAATAATAGAGAAGAGACAGCTTGTTCATAATGACGTAATGACCTCTATGCTTTCTCTCTCTCTTTTTTTTTATTTAAAGCGCAAAAGCGTGAATCTCGTCGATTTATTTTTTTAATCTTGATGTAAGTATGTATATGGCAATGATGAATTATAATTTGTGTATATACAATTCTTATTGCCTTTTAGCTTCAATTGTTGAAAAAACAAATCATTGCTGCACCATATGAATTCAGTCAAATAGCTTAAAGGGTTTCATTTTTGTTGACCATCATCTCAATTATCCTGTCTTATCGTGTCTTCTTTCTTTCTTTTGTTGAATAGTTCCGCTTCATACACTTGTTTGGCCATGACCTTAACACGAGTGGCTAGCACCATATGAATGACCAACGGCGAAAGAATCGATTACACACCCCGCCGTCTCTCCAGTAGTCTTTCATCGTCAACATCGATTGTAATCTATGAAACAAAGAAAAGCCAGTAATGCTTAATCTGTTCATCATCGGACAATGCTATTAGTGGCATTTTTAGTTGTAGTTGTCAATGTCTATATGAATCCTCAATAGAACGTTCGTTTCATTTCATCTACATTTTGTATTCATCAAATCGACACGAGCACGCATACATCTATAAATATATATATACATGCACGCAAGCAATAATACGAGGTAATAATCGAAGTCTGCTCTTGCAATTTTTTTCTTGTTTCAATAATGATTTACCCTCGATTATACAATTCATCCCTCGTTTTTTATTCTTCACTATTATTTTGATATATATATAAATCAAATCGTTGTTGTTGAAAGATCAACAATGCAGAGAGACTCTTCACTATTCTATTGACTTCTATATCCGTCAGTGTATATTTTTCTTCATCATTAATTTCCAATCATTCTTGATACACACACATATATGTGTACATATATAGCTTATGTAAAAACAAAAGTAAAGGGTGGAGAGACAGTATGTTGTTGTTAGAGTTGTGGTATGTCTGTTTGATAGAAATGTCAAATATGCGACATCATTCTAATGAGAGAGAGTCTCACAATGCAAGACATTATAAGAAAAGTTAATCTATTCTCATTCACTTTTTATTTTTATTGTTATGTCTTTCCTATTTCTTTCAAATACAATATTGATTGATGAATACGAGATTGTGTTTTAATACACCTGTAATTTTTCTGTCGACATTGACACACCAAAAAAAAATCTTACTTGAGTTTGCTATCAGCTTTTTTGCTTTGTTCTAGATAATGTTTCATTATTATCTTTTTTTTCTATTCATATCCTTAATTAAATCTTGTCCATTAAAAACAGTTGACAGTCGTTCCGGTTGTTATTGTGGTATTGAAATCGATGGTACAAATTATATTCAATGTCAACCGAATTCAATTGAAATCATTCCAGAATTTACTCGTTCATATATTCATGATAAATTAAATTTGTCATCTAATTTTATACGTAATATAACATATGAATCATTTAATAAATTACGAGTTAAAAAAATATATTTACAAAATAATTTAATTGAATTTATTGATAAACAATCATTTAATAATAATTTACTTAATTATCTTGAAGAACTTCATATTGATATGTTAAATAATGGTAGTTTAGAATTTCTATGTTATGGTACATGGCAAAAACTTCGTTTACTTGAATTATCAGGTTTCAATTTCGATCAATATCAAATTTGTTTTGAAAAATTTTATCGTCTTGAAAAATTAATTATAAAAAATTCTAAAATTAATTTTTTATCATCATATTTATATCAACTTCCATATTTATATGATTTATCATTAATTAATAATCAAATTGAATATTTAAATTTTAATAATAATCGTTTAATACATTCATCATCATCATCAGTTAAAATATTTAATTTAACATCAAATCAACTTCGTACAATACCAAATGATTTATTTCAACAAATGCCATTATTACATACACTTGATCTTTCACATAATTTTATTGAAAATTTACCAATTATTAATCCAAATAATTTATTATATATTAATTTAAGTTATAATTTAATAAATTATATTCAATTAAATGATAATGAAAATAATTATGATTTATCATATAATCCCATATGTACATTAGAAAAAAGTGAATCAAAAAAAAATTTATTTGTAAAAAAGATTACTCAGTTACATTGTGATTGTCGTTTAGCCTTTTATCTTGATGAAAATTTAATAAATAAATCAAAAATTATAGGAATTAATCAACCATTTGATAATGAAACAAAATGTTCAACACCAATATCATTTCATGGATTATTTTTAAAAGACTTAACTTATGAACAATTATTATCAACATGTTCAAATGATTTGCCTGTTCATTGTAGAGAAGTTATTCATTTTAAACAAATTGAAAAATATACAAATTATATTATGGAAACGACAACTATGACGTCAACAATGCAATCAACAAGAAACACGACGCAGAGTATGTAAAACAAAATGATAATATATCGATTACGTTAAACTTAGTCATACGTAGGAGCAATTGTTTTCAGTTCCAGTCAAACAAAGTTTTAGTTCTAGTTTTGCGCTTAGCAATACATATACTAACGGGAAATGTTACATGATTTTCTATCAGTGTCAATAAACTCGAGGATCTTGCACAACTCGCATGACATCTGATATTGTCCCTCTAGAGTGTTCATTATTTTTTTAAATACACTCATACTTTATCTATTCTGCACGCTTATGCTCTATTATGAACATTGTAACCATTAGTAATGATCAGAACTATCTTGCCAATAACTAGTTAAATTTTTACGTGAATAGATTTAGGGATGTTATACAAATTTTGATTGTGGTTAGAGGACTATCGGGGAAATCGTTTTACAGTTCGGAGTATGTGCAAAACGTAGATTCTAGCGAGATATGAAAAGTCCCAAAAGGTTAAGTGTCCTTAGACTTTACATCCAGAATGAAGGCCGTTTTATCGGAACTCTAGACTATTGTACGATGAGCATCAATCAATCGAATGATAGTATTTCGATCTGAGATTTTGTTCAAAGATAGATTTAGTAGTGACCGGAATTCCCTGGAAATTTCAATTCCAAAGAATCTGTGATTCACGAAATATTGAATTTATAAAGACCACCTATATCCCCATGAAAAGTTGCAGAATCTCACATGTTTTTTTTTGAATTTAATATCTCGCGAAGGAAACATTTTCTTTTGAGTTGAAGCTTTCAGGACAGTCTATTCACAACTAGACCTATCTTTAAACAAAATTTCAGATCGAAATACTATCATTAGATTGGTTGGTACTCATCGTACAATAGCCTAATGTTTCGGTAAAACGGGTTTAATATTGGACGAATATTGTTGATAGTTCCGAATAAAACGAACAAAAGAAAAGCAATTTTTCGAAATTTGACTATTTTTAGAACAAATTTTTATAAGAATCGAATTCCATTTTTTTAGTCAATAAAGTTACTCAAAAGTTAAAAAATCGTCTTGAAATATCATCATTTCGTTTGACATCTTTCTATACCAGCTACGAAAATAACAGTTTAACAGTCTATTGGGATTTTGATCCAACATTCTCATTGAATTATGTAACATTCATACAATTTCAAATAATTCTTGAACAAGATTCTTCATTAAATACTCAAACTATTCGACGAAGTGGTTATATATCACCATATCTTAAACAATATACTATTCATCATATTCCATCAAATAAAAACTATTATGTTTGTTTACTTTTAACACGATCTTCTTTTGGTACAGATAAATACTGTCGAGAAGCCCGAACAATAACAACGACAACAACAGCAACAACAATAATATCTAATACAATTTTATCTAAACAAGCATTTATTCACATGCTGTTTACCAATCGTTCTGTTGTATTTGGTTTTCTATTTGGTACAATTCTAACGACTAGTCTCCTGCTGGCATTAGTCTTTCTCTGTCATTTACGGTCTAAACGACAATGTTATCGACGTGCAGCATCATCATTATTTCATCATCAACAACAAAAACATTATTTATATGTTGATAGGAATGATGATGATGGAACTTATTCAAATTCGATATTTTCATCGTCATCATCAAAATATAATCATTTTAAAAGAAGTCCTCCTCGAACATGTTTTCCATCATTACCATCCAATCAATCATGGTATCGTCGTGGTCTAACACAATTACCAACAGCACCACTACCACCAGCTTGTTGTTTTCATCACCATCATCATCATCATCTTACACCGGACACATCGATAAGTAGTAGTACAACACCCCGACGCATTACATCACTATCATCACAATATAGCAATGAAATGGATAAAGAACAAATGACGTCAACATCAATAGTGAGTAGCACTAATTCAGATGAACAAACAAATAATAGTCCAGCTAAACATGTTTATGAAGAACTTGCAGATGAAACGACAATGTTAAGGCGAAATAATATAACTGATGTATTTCTTTGATCGTTTTCTTCTGTTGTAGATTTCACAGTCGTGTGTTTGTTCTTTTTTCTTTGTATCTTATTAAAAGTATTTTATTCACAACTAGATAGTACTTTGTAAAAGTCGAACATTTAAAATAACGTACAAAGCGTTCTTGACGTTTGATTCTTCAATGTTGACTTATGTTGAATATAGTTCCTCAAGATTGACTTGAAAAACACTTTTATTCTCAGCGTTCTTTACTCTATAAAAGTATGCTTTTCTTCTCAGTTTGATGAATTGAGAAGAAAAGTTTTGTTCTAACTAATAGATAAAAAACAACAGACCTTGTCAAAAGAACATATTAATGAGAATATCACTAGAACGCATCTGTCAATACTTATCAAGTCTCTCTTCGCACAAGTATACAGTCCGTAACTTTCCAATTGAGGCTATTATGCAAAACTTTGCTACACGACTCATTATTTTTTGACTCTAATCTGTTGACATTTATAACTGAATGTCGAAACAATATTATGTCGTTGCCGATGAGTGAAATGTTAGTATGTAGATTTAGTATTCTCATGCTTGAATCTTCAAGTGTTATCAAGCTTCTGATTCTCATAGTTTGTAACACTGAATATCATAGATGTTCGAATAATCCATGTACGAATCAATTCTATTAATAATTGGTAACACATTTGAAGTTAAAAATAAACCTCTTTCGACAAAATAATAAATATCATAATTATATTTCGTAAAAAGGCCTGAGTTAGAAAATTGTATCTATTCGAATGTTCAACGAAAATGGTGTGAGTATTTACGCACCAACAGAAAAAACATGTTACAGTGTTTTTCATTACTAACTAAGCATATATGTATGCCAACCTGAGCTGTGTAATTTCATACGCCACTCGAATTGGATTATTTTTCGAAGCAGACAAGCTCAACCTGTTGTTCTGGTCCAACATATTTAAATACTAATAATTGTGAGTGATTACTTGGATCAACACCTATAATTCTATTGCTGTATCTTGCGTTCGAATATTGACTACAAAAATCTTCTCATGATTCCAAAATATGATCGTGCTCAATATTTTGTGGAATATTTAGCAAATGAAAACAGCTACAAATGTGCAGTTTTCAGCATTCGAAAGAGAAATGTGAGTGGGTAATACCTTTTTCATGCTAGATTAGCTATCTCTGTCTATATACGGAAGAGTGACTCTGCGACCTTATTCTACTTACGATTTATGAGCATTTCATTGAAAGCTATGAAATCAGTTCATGGAATTCAGTTTGAATTATTCGATTAATCTGTATCGAATGATACTCTTATGCTTTTTTTTTTAAAGCAATATGACCTCAAAAGGAAGAAGTCACGAAATTGTCCTATCTATCGTTCAAAATGTTGTATAGAATGAATCACAAAATTATCACATCATAATTCACAATGATATTCCAATTGAAACCAATTAGCAGTCTTCAACTGAGCTTAATCGAATATCTCAATTTTAACATAGTTTTAATGAGCAGTGCTTACATCGATAGAAAGATGTCTTCATTATCGTTCCGCTGAATTGAAGCTAATATTATAATGAAAATTTGTCTTTAAAATTTCTGATCAAAATCAATAGTGAAAAAATTACCTAAATGGATCGATTCAAAGTCAAGGTAATACGAAAGAGTTTTGATATTCTCGCATATCGCTTCCGAATAGTGAAACCCTTGCTTTTATAGTTGTTTTCGCGGTCGAGATCGCCAAAAAATATTGAGATACGTTGTATTTTGATGCCGACAATAGTTATTTTATATGAAAAAAATGCAGATGTTGTCTTCAATTATAATTACTCTATTGATGCTTGATAAAATAGAATTAATTTTTATCTAAAACTAGAACAGACACAAGTTGATAGAGTCACCAATTCGCCTTCATCCACACTGATAACGAGAAATGAAGATCTCTAATTTTCTCATTTATCTTTCTTCACTAATAAATTGGGATTATTGCAACATTGATAGAAGTGAAAAAATTAAAGAGTTTTGTTTCTGTACCTCTATTTGAAATGAAACTATCGATCTATTATTCAGGCGAGATATCAATAAGAATGAAACAGATGATTAAGAATCCAACCGAATAATGATAAATGCTAATAATGGAAAAAAAGTTATGTCAAACAAGCATACAGAAATCAGAATAATTTTTTTTTCTCTATCTAAGTTCATTTATGATTATTTTCGTTTTCCTTTTCAAAAAAATATTGAAAAAATCAAAAGACTTCATTCTCAAGCCTTTTGAATCTAGATGCACTTCAGATATTCTCAAGTTTTTCTGAGTTCTCTTTTTTTTACAAATCTTCAAACTCTAAAAGTCTATGGTGTGGAAGTGTGGGTGTGGTGTGGATATGGTCGTGGATCTTCTTTTCATTTTCACTCATATCCAGCTTAATCTTCGCTTAGCGTTGAAGTGTGTCATCGCTGAGCTGACACACCCACACGTACACTACGCCCACATCCAAATCAATAACACAGAAAGTGATGCTGTTTTTGTTGGAATTTTACTTTAGAGCATGAATCTAATGCATCTATTTCAATTTTTTTCACTGGCCGATTTTCTGTTGGATTTATGCATTGAATTAATGAAAGTTCAATCTAAATCATTCAATGATATCTATCACATTGAAATATATTAAAATTTCTACAGTATTGCTATTAAAGAATATACTTCATAAGGACGTTTTCATCGTTAAGCCGATTTATCAAAATAGCTCGTTTATCAAATGGCAAAATTGCAGTAAACTTTCCATTGATTGCTACAAAATCATCACTAGCTACTATCAGTAATATATCTAGTCGCATTACGGTTTCAGTGCAAAATCGACTAAGTATTGCTTGCAACATCCATGAGTCGATTAAACAAAACGAAAAGTAATAATGAACTTGCAATATTGAGTGATGTGCACTATCGGACATTGATTAAGTTAAAATTTAAAAAAACACAGTATAAGGCTTATTTTCAGTAATGCGTCATTCAGAAATGGCAAAACAAAATTTTTCTGCAAATCGAAATTGATCTATTCAAATTCTGATTTCTTGTATTCGTCAGAAAATATACGAGTTGAACTTTTTCAATAATCCTTGCTGATTTTTGTCCAATATTTTTTTTTATTCATAAATTTTATGCAATGATTGTAACTTCTTAAAATGTGCACACGATGATATGTTATTGATTTTGCTTTATATGGTTGCTTGATAAAGCCTTAAACTAAATATTCGTTCTTTTCAGCAAAGCTTTCATTTATATGAAAATCAAATAGCATTCATGAATAATTGATAATTGAAATATTTCGTTATTAAAAATAAATGAGTGTAGGCGTTTCCAATCAATTGGCTTGCTAAAATCAAAGGAATATTTAACACAAAAGAACACCCACATTTACTTGTTTGTCTTCATATAGAAAACGAAAACAAGCTCGATCAAGCATAAACAACATATATTTACACTTGATCGTACATTTATCTCATAGAGGTAGCAACAAAAACATTAAGTAATGGATAAAGATGACATGCGCTATCTCACAAACAAAAATAATTTTATTCATTTTTTTCTGTCTCTCAACTAGAAAAACATTTGAATGAAGACAGTATAATCCCAACAATGGATGACGATAATAAAACTATGTTAGATGCTATCTATGTAAATATGGAACCCCCGACAATGTTCAAAAACAATACGGATCAACCTCAATCAAAATGTCAAATAAGATGATGAATAAATTTTTGCTTTCTGTTATTGAAATGTTTGCATATATTTTAAATTAAAATTGACAAACAAAATAAAAACAAAAGAATTTTATTTTCGTCATTTTGTTGAGATGATGTATTTGATGTCAACAATAAATACAAGATCTGTACAACTATCAATAACCGATTATTCTCGTATATCAGCTACTGTTTGTGATGAGTTATCATTTTGATTACATGTAAATGATGGTGAACAACGTGAAAATGTATTATTTGCTATATCAATAGTTTGAACAAATGAATGTACTGTTGATGATGATATTGATGCTGAATCATCAATAATAACATCTTTAACATTAGCAATAGAATTATCTCATTATTTGCTTGCAAATCGAAGAAATACCTATGAAAAATAAGAAAATATAATACAGGATGGATCATAAAAAACTTCGCTCTTTTGGTAGTAATGTTTCTGCATTTTTAGCATTGAGTTTTTGATCCAATCCTTCTTTCAAAAGATAGAGTCGGTGAAAACTTGCAGACAGAATTATTTTAGTTGTGAAAACGTTTAAGTGTAATTTGAGAGAAAAAAGGATATTAATTAAATATGAAATCTGTTCTGGAACAATATATCCTCACTGCCATAAGTCTTGATTCAGTTAGTCCTATTTATTATTTTATTCTTCCAATAGGTAATTGAGAAATCGTAGATTTTCAATATAAAATTGATAAATGTACTTTTCGGAGATATCATAGCTGTAAGGATAAGGGCGAGATTTATGATCAAAGGGAAGTTAAATTTTCGGCCAAAGTATAGAGAATGGCGGTGCCATATTCGTTCGAATCCAGGCCTCACTCAACGGGCGTTACTCTGGAAAAAAAGAGCTAATTATAAATTGATTCTTATAGAATTATCATCAAGATTGTTTAAGAGATGTTGAGGATGTGTTCTGGAGCGACGATCAGATGCGAATTGAAAAACTTCATTGTGTAGCAAAAGTATGATTCAAGTCTGGATCGGTTCTAGAGACGATTCGGCAGTGGTAGGCTTTTAACCACGGTGGGCATTGCGGGTACCTCTACACTTAAATAAAACTTATCTGGAGTTTATTCCTTTAGGCATCATAAAGGTTAGGAATAAGCCCTATCAATAAAACATTTCGCCATCTAAAGTGTTCAGTGGTTGGAAAGTTCAAACTGATTTAAAACTGTCTTGATTTCGAAAATTGAAAACGTTTGTGGAGAATATATTGATAAGAAATTGGATATGATATCCATAAAAACTAAACATTGACTGCAGAAAATTTTAAATCTATTCCTCGATCAACAACGGTGAAAGGCATATGTTATTATTTTTTCTTCGTACTTCGAAAGTATGTAGTAATCTCGTCTTCACTTTCTTCGAGTCTATTACAGTTATAACTCAACGAATAGGTGCCGAAGTCGATCTATTGATCACTATGCTAGAAGTGAGAATCAGTTATAATCTGGATCTAAAAATTTTGGACTGGATGGACTCTATTTATATCACAACATCAATTTTTTCATCCAAACTACGGCATAACTTCGTCTTTCCATTTACGAAAAGTTCGTAATTATACATTTTATTATACGAAACGTGATAATATCGAATATTGTTATATCTTAATCATGGTTTCAAATGGTTACATATATTACAAATAACTAACTGAATCATCTTCTGTTCGTAATGGTTCATTTTATGTAACAAATACACTTGATGTTAATCATAAAAGTATTACGAAAACAAATAATAATGGTATTTTTACCTGGTGGTGGTATAATGTGTTTATTTTTCTTCAACATTAAAACTTTTATTTTGCTCTTATGTTGATGGAAAATATTTTTATGGTACTATTGATGAATCAAATATTGAGAAATTATTAATGATAAATTCCATTGATGTTAAAATGACTCCAACAACATCAATAAATGGTAATAATAAATCAACATCAACCTATCATACATTATGTGCATGGTCAGAAATAGCTCATTATCGTGGTTTAATCTATACAATGACACAAATGGCAAATAATCATGTTGTTTTAATGATAGAACCATCAACAGTGCGTTTAAGTGCAATAAAAATACAAATAAAAACAACAAAAATTCAAGATATTGTTGCATTAAGATATGATCAACGAACAACATTTATTTTATTAGCTAATGACGGAAGTTTAAAATTCTTCTTAGCTGAATTAGATGAAAGAAATTATTGGTTAAATAGGTTTTATCAAACGAAGAAATATTTTCCAATGATCGATTTAGATTTAAATGAAGAAAATTTTAATTATCAATAATGTAATCAGATAATGAACAAATGAACATATTAAGACATAGTAGAGCATTTTATTCTTTTTCGCCGCAGCTATAGATTATCACTTCAGTAGTTGGTACACCAGCATCAAATGCTTCAATATTATCAATATCTTGAATACGACTAGCTTGTGTTTGAGTACCAGTACCACCATCATCAGTATGACAATTAATAAGAATATGTTGAACATCACAAATTGTATCATCAGTAGAAATACGAATACCACGTGCAACTTCAATATCATGAGCAGTTGTACTAATTTCATCGGCATTTTTAACACCAATGGCTCTATCAACTTGCTTGCGCATATTAATAGATTGAACACCAGATCAGGACTCGAAACGGGCCACTTATTTGTGGCCCGGCCCGGCCCAAAGTGGCCCGAAAGTTTTGCAGGCCCGCCCGGCCCAACTCGTAATGGCTACGGTCCGACCCATCAAATTCGTTGGCCCGACCCAGGCCCAACGCAAAATATTTTTAAGAAACATTTTATCCAGAATTGATCTTAAAGATTAATACCATGCTTCGAAAGAAAATTTTGTATAGTACACCATAGATTAATTTATGAATTTAATGACATCAGATCATTGAAATGATAACATAAAGATAAATTAATAAGTACAACGACCATAAGAAAATATATCAATAGATTGTGCATATTAAAAAGCTGTTGGTTGACTGTGCTGTCTAATAATATTTCGATAGAAATGGCTGTAACAAAATTTTTTGATCATTACTCGATCTGATGACACTTATAAAATTTTATAGACGAAAAAATTAGAATTTTGTCGGGCCAGCCCTGCCCGACCAAAAAATTCCTTCGGGCCGGGCCGGGTGGCCCGTTTCGATCCCTGCACAAGATTTATTTTTGATTCTAAAATATTTTAAAAAAATGTACATTAACGGAGCCCGATATGAAGGATACCTTTTGCATTAATTTTATTTAACAGATCCATTCCATCGATGACTTCACCAATTACCACCTATTTGACATAGAGAAATTTAATCAATATTGCAAAATGATATTTTACTCACGTGACTTTGATTTAAGGATGGCATGGGACCTAGAAAAAAGTATAAGCCTTTACTAAAAATATACAGTATAATTTACATACAGAACTTGATTAAAAATGTTGTTGATGGATCATGTAAAGCCATTGATAATAGCCAAGGTTTATCATGAGCAAGTTGTGTATCATCATATTTTGGTACTTGATCGGAGTATCTAAGAATAAGAAGAAAAAGTATTTAAAAAAGTAGTAAAAGTAGCTATTCTTACCATTTACCATGTTTGTTGAAGACTACGGTTCCACGTCCTACAACAAAAACAATGTTCAAAATATATTTAAAAAAACATTTTACCTTGTAAGTAATGATTTTTGTGTAAATAATTAAATCTGCTATTTTCGAAGTTGAAACCTTTACTACCATTGTAAATGGACCTGAAAAAATTACAAATAAAAGAAATATTATAACCTATTAAACGTCACCAACTTACTGCATGTGTTTGGGACTTGACTATCAAACAACTGAAAGAAAAAATCAAGATAGAGGGTAAGGGTGATAGAAAAAAGCAGTATATACCTTAAAGACAATATTATCGATCAATTTGTAAACTTAAATAGCAAAACTTTTTGCTAAGACCTAAAAAATCAAATGTGAGAATTATTCAGGATTTTGAACACTTACTAAAAAAAAAATTTTCAATTTGCTGTTGTTTTTTTAAATAAATTTTCATTTGTTCTTGTATTGCTTTTATAGTTTCTCCGACAGTTTTTTTTTCGTTATCACTTCTTTGATTTGTTCATTTTCAATATTTAATTCGTTTTCATCAACTATTAATGACCCTGGTTGTGGTGCTTGAGGTGGTGACATTGACGACAAGCTTTTCTACAAAAAAAGCATAAAATGTAAAACATTTTTTCTTTTTCAAGTAGGGTATTCTTACTTGATTCTCCATGGATGGAAACTCCATTTCATTATTTGTTGATGGTGGTGGTGCAGACGATGATGAAATGGATGATTTTAGACTATCCTAAAAATTTTTAAAAACTATACAGCGTCTCATAAGTAGCTAGACGATAAGAAATTTAAATATCTCCACATCGGTTCAATCAAATGGACTAATTTTTTGGTTAGTGATAGAAGTTTACTCAAAATTTTTTTTCCACACGGATAATATAAGTAAATACTACTATTATTGCTTGAGAAATGTGTGAAGTATGCTTCGAAGTGACTACCAGGCGTGGATTATAAATTTCCATTGAGTGTCAAGAGTGTGATCGGGTTCGAGTCAGGATCCAGATCCAAAAAAATGAATCAACCGGATCGGAGTCTAAAAATTGCTCCAAAAACCGGGTCCGAATCCAAAAATTTTACAGTCGCAGACCAAGGGGAAAAAAGCGAATCCTAGTAGATCATACAATTCATCAGGATCTGGGATCCGCTTTCCCCTTGCGACAGGCTATAGTTTCAGTACTTGAGACGTGTGGAACCAAGCTTTTTGGTCTCGGTTCCAGTAATTCTGCTGTTGTTGGGGTGTGAGTCTAATGTTGCTCCAGACTTGACGAGAATTATTTCAAAATTTATTCTTATCAAATCTAAAATATTCTTAAACAGACGTTGTTTGATTGATTTGGTCGACGAATGTCAACTGTTTTGCTCTTCTCTCCTGAGTTTCTATTCATGTGTATGATTTAAAAGATTATTCGCTCACAACAAGAGTGCAACTAACTTATGTACTCCGTTAGCACATGTTCCACATCATCCTCACCCTTACTGCTATTCCACTGCCTTCATACAAGGTGAAACACAAGCTAACGGATTACCCTAACTATAATCTTTGATTCCGCACATATCTTATGGCTACTCGAAATCTTTCATGATGATATACTAATAGAGAAACGAGAATGATAGTAAGAAAAACATTCGATATTTGATTGCCACGTATGGTGAGAAATATTTTTTAAAAAGTAAAAAAATCATAGAAATTTCATTTTATTTGTTAGCTTAACTAAACTTTATGTTAAAAATTAATGTTTATTGCTTTTCGTATTTTTAAACAACTATTTCAAAAGAGTCACCATCTAAAATGTAATTTTTTAAAATTTATGCATATACTCCAGTCTTAGAAATCTGTTATCACATTATACATATTCGTCCTGAACGGAACAGCTGTTATTTGAGACATCTACTATAATCTTTATATCATATCGGTTGTAATGTGTTATTTTCTTCGTACAAAATCAATATTCACCGATAAATTTCAAAAACATTTCTGCTCCAATTTCCTTCTAAAAAAGATTCAATTGTTCCAAGGTGGCTATCATCTTGAAAAACTTTTCTTCTTAGAAAATCATTTATTTGTAAAACATGACCACTGAAGATATATTAAGTATTTTTCTATAACAATAAGGTTTATCGTTGTAGATTAAAAATTTTATAGCAAAAAGACAGCTTCTACTGCAATTTCAGATATGACTTGATAGTCTTGAAGATTGATAGATACGTGAATAAATTTTTCTAGCTCAAACAGAAACATTACATATCTCTATAAATATAGGATATTTTGTGACTGAAAGCAACTGCTACACAAAAGACTTTTCAATAGTAGATACGCATCAGTTAAAATTATGCCGATAATCTGATTCCCTCACTTTTTTTCTAGCAGGACCATATTTATACTATCATCGTCCTTCTCCTGGAAGTTAATAAGAACAGGGGAAAAAAGGAAAAAATTCCATACGGGCGTTCTATTAAAACTAATCTTCTCAAAAATGTTTTTTGAATGTAAATATCAATCTTCCTGAATATATCTTAATATACGCATAACTTCATTACATAGTGAGTGTTATATGTGTTATGCTGATTTCATCAAATGTTGCGAATACAAAAAACACGACAATTTTTTATGAACGTTACTTATTCGAAACTATCAAACTATATAAACCAAATTATCTAGTGTTCAAACTGTTTAGGAAATTATATAGCTCAAGAATCTCATTGAAACTGAGACATTCGATACGAAGACGCTTTGAATATCTATTATCGAGATATTAATGATTCGTAAAAAAATGGATCCTGACTTTTATAATTGGCCACGATACGTTTATTCTTGAATATAATTACAGTTTATTACGATCTGTGTTTCTACGAATCTCGTTAGAAAAGGTACAGTTCAATCAATTGATCAAATTGAGAAATAGGCGTTCCAATACTCATTACTTAGAACACTTTATCAATGCACATCAACATAGTTTTCAAAAATACTAGTGATTGATAATGTAATTGTCTATGTTATTTAATATCTATTATCAACTGTACTCATACCTGTAGTGTACCATCTCAGCTATTCAATCAAAGCAACAGCTAGTTTCTTATTTTGCTTTTATTTTAAATATCTTGAATTTGGGAAACAAAATTTTCCTCAAAAGCTCGGTTTTGAGGAACTACCTGCATGCAAAAAGACATTGTCTAAAGGATCTTAGAAGAGATTTCGGTTGTTTGGTTTTGAAATTTCAGTTTTACTTTGGAACAAATATTTCTTTGCTTTCCTGTTTTGAAATCTTTTCAACAAAAATACTGAGTTTTAGATGTGTTCGTAGAGAAAATGAAACGAAAAACAGAGGCATTTTGCAAGTATGTTGACATGTTTCAACAGAGATCTTATAGTTATATATGTTAGCATTTCATCTTTTCATTGAAAATTCGATCAGCTTTTAGAAAGTAATCTTATGAGCCTTCAACAAATTTGAATCAAATAATAGCTTTTTAATTGTCACTTACTGTGCTTAAAATGAGATATAAATGAAAGTTCATTTAAATCTAATGTTCCTTTCTATTCTTGACATTAAAGAACGCTGGATTAGTCAGTTTTACTTTAAAATAATTCTGTACAATCTATCAATTCATAATGAATTTAATAGAAAAAATGACTTTTTAAAATTTTTTTAATGGCCACAACAATAAAACAAAGTAAACAAAATATCTACAATAAGATTCTCCGTAACAAATATGAAGAAGACGTTCTCTATTGAGTAAATTACAGAAAAGGTTTTAAAGCATTATAAAATTCACATTAAAAAAAATCTCCATTCTTTAAGAGAAAATAAATTTTTCTATGTGCTCATCATAGCGCACCTATTGAGAAAAAAGTGAAAAAATGCGTTTGAAGAATTAATTATTGTTATGGTTCATTTTCGTTTCATGGCTCATATAATGAATAATAAACAAAGTACCTGGATTGAGATGCTCCCTATACTTATAAAATTAACAATTCTATTTAAACAAGAACGTCTAATTTATGCTCTTGACATATATTGTGATAAATTTTACAATAAGAATATCTTTTTCTTTCGATCACTCTTCAAAATTTTATGCTCTCATGTAAAACCACTTACGGATGTGTTGTGTGATTTGCACATTGTGACCTGTCTGGATTGTTAGAAAAGAAATATGAACAGCACTAATCGAGTTGCCTTTCCTCTCTCGTTCTCTGTTAAAGGATAAAGAACGTGGATATAGCATAACGAGAACATTTTTCTTTTTCACTCTTTCTGAATAACTTCTTTTTTCAAGCGCGCGGTGAAACAAGTCGCTACGTGAAAAGTCTCGACGTTTTATTTCTTCAACATGTACTCTTATAAAGTTCATCGTGATAGGTGGCTCGCGTCCATTTCTTTTTCTCTCGCTAATCGACGAATTGTACTAGCGCGGACAATCTTTCAAAACTTTTTTTTTGAGTAAAAATTTCATTATTCACAACATCATCATCAGTTGTTTCAGAATAATACATTTGTTAATTGTTTGAACCTGTGAACGATGACATCTTATCACAGAAGGTAGCAAGTTCACGATTAGAATTTCCGATTATCTTTGCTTTTCTCTAAAAGGTAAAAAAAAAAGCAAAAGTCAATTGACTCATCGATATTTTTCTAACGTTACTCACTGGTGCTGGTACTTTATTTGACATATTAATTGTAAAATGATAATAAAAAAAGAAAATCTGACAAAAATTTGTGATGTAAAAAATCAAAAGATTGACTATATAGGGATCAGCATGGTCTACGGGACAAATACGTTGATTTTCAGTTTTACAATACAATATGATAGAAGATTACTATTAGAAACACTCTCAGAATTCTCAATTCAAAAAAAAAGAATCCTGTTTTTGAAAAAATGAAGGTATTGAAAGTTATTTCTGAGAATAATTCTCGACCATATTATATTCTAAAACTGGAAACGAACGTATTTGTTCAGTAGAACATACTATTTCGTATAAAAGTCTAAGTGTTAGTCAGTAGATGTAACAAAAACAAAAAAACATTCTATAAAAACAGTTTCATCAATACGAATAATTCCTTTTTTCATTTGGGTGATTGTTTCCTTCGTGATAATTAGCTTTCACGAACTAATCGGAAAATTCGTACAAGTCAAACGAATTCCACGTAACAGTGATATCTATTTTAAAAACATTTCATCAGCATTAAATGAACCTCAAATATGTTTGAATCTAATCATTGATTCATATATTCGTTTACGAACTTATCATGATTATCATATAAATTTTATCATAAAAAATGCATTAAATCGTAGTATGCAACCAAAAATTCAACGTTTAATATCAAAATTATCAACAGCAAGTGATTTAAATCAAAAAGAAACATCCGATAAACAATTTCAATCAATTTCATTATCAGCACAAATTTATCCAACTAAAGTACAAAATCGTTTGCAGTGGACAGATACACCAACAACAGATCAAGTCGTAGCAGATGAACCAGCCCCAGATCGAAAAGTACGGGCTGGTTCCGGCAGGAAAACACCGGAAATCGCTGGAACATGGAAGCAGTATTTCTGCCGAAAATTTTCTGGCTTTTTTCCGGTGAATTCCGACCAATTTCCTGCGTTTTCCGACAGGCATTGACCGGAGAATCATCGGAAAAAATTCGGAAAATTTCCGACCGGAAATCTGCTTCCAGTTCCCTCTATTTCCCGTGTTTGCCTGCAGGATACGATGATTTTTCCAGCATTTTTCTGCCGGTTTCTGCAGTATCCAGTGGCCAGAACGATTCACCTGGGGCTATGTTACAATATGCACTTACATTAAGTATGCCAGACAATCCTGATCAAGTTTCACCACCACTATCGACGTCTGACAAGCACAAAAAGACAAATAGGTGGTTGTTTATTTACAAGAAGATCATTGACTGACCCATAAGAATAACTACCTTGTAAGATCTTGATCCAGGAATTCTTCATTTGCAGGTAATTTATCTCCAAAATGCTTCTTCTATAAATTGTAAGACGCTTCATTGCAATCATTCATTGTGCCTGTATCCCAATGAGACATGTATGGAAGATGCGCTGCAATTTGTTCCTTTCGTTGTATTTCTCATTGTCTTTTCATTACTCTTTAATTTTTTTCGTAGTTAAACACATGTTGTCGAAAAGTTTCGTAACCACTTCTTGTGAATGATGGATACATTACATATACTTCGAATTAGTTGATCGACTCTTGAAAAGCTTCATTGAAAATGTCATCCAGAAAGTCAATGCGATCAAGTATAAATTTGATGTTAGACTTCCGATCATCAAAAGCATCATTATCGGAACAATATCTTGTTGCTTTTAGCAGAACTTCTTGTAGACGTTTCAAGGTGTCGTATATTGGAAAATGAATTAAATCACGGTAATGGGTAACGCATCGCCTTTAATCAATGCTTTGTGATAATTAATACTCGTATGAGTAATACGATTGTTGTAACCTAACTCGATATCTCGAAGATGGATCATTGCGCCAATCGCTGTTGTAATCCATATATATTGAGGAAGCTTTGAATCAGCCAGTACGAACAATGTACGAAGTTCCTCTTCACATCAGTTCCATATTATGAACGCTTCGCCTTGATATCTATATATCAGCACCTACTGGGGCATATTTTTTCGGAATTTATTGGGACTTTTTAATAAGTCCGTAAGCATTTTGGAATAAATTCTACACTGTTCCACAATATGTACAAGGTGTGGGTGTGGGTGTGATTGAAGGTAAGTGTGTGGATGTATTGAAATAGCATCATAACTAATAAATCCTTAATAAGTAAATAAATCATGTAGAAAAAAGAAGTTCGAGTAGCGGCTCCCACTACTTGTCCTTTTTTTGTCAAATGTTTTTATATATGCTTGTTGAATGAAGAAATCCATTACAACTACTGTCTAACCAAATGTTTTGATCTTAAGTCACGAGAACAAGACAAAAAGGTTCCTGTCTCTCAGTGCATCAACCTTTTTTTTTCTCTTAATAACTCTAAGTAGCATGAGTCAGAAGGACATGAACCGTTCTCGCAATAGAAGACTCCTCATAACAGAGGACCCACTTGGACGAATAATGCGTAGGACATAATAAGAGACACTCATTAATTATTTGATTGCTCAAAAAATTGAAACTTTTAATTAAGATATTTGCATTAAAATATGCCTATTTTTCAGAGTTTCAAATTTAAAATTATGAAAGACTGGTAAAAATTATTTTTAGATTTCTAAAGCCTTAGAAGTTACTCACTAAAATTTCAAACATCACAATTCCTTTCTCGAAAAAAATTTTCGATTAGAAATAATAAAAACAGATTGTCCATAATACGAGACTCCTTAAAACTTTGTACATTTCGACACAATACAAAATCTAGAAATGTTGTTGCGCTGAGAACGTAACTCGATCAAAGTTTTATCTCGAGATTAAGTGGAAAAAAATATGAGCCGGTTCCATCATTACTACTTATTTTCGAAAATCATATTAAGCAACACTATCATGAACGAAAATTTGCCAATGCGACTATATCATCAAATTATATATTACCAGATAACCATCTCTTTCATAAATCTCCAGTATCTCTTGCAGCTTCCTCTCAATCGCTACACCAGAAGCATTCTCGTTATTATAACACACCAGACGATGAGATAAACAATGTAAAACAAGCACTTCTCTACACACACATTCAAGGTAGGTCGAAACTGTTTCCACATTATACTCAATGGCACCATTCCTCCACATGATCAATTCGAGCGTTTTTACTATATTTATATTACTTTCACAGATCGCATTCGACAACTAGTGACATCAATATTAGCGCTATCAATATATGCGACCAAATTTCATTAAGACGTGTTTGAGCGAGAATTCGACTTCCAAGTGAATTCAATGAAAGCGGTCCTCACCTACGGCCGAACACTACAGACGAATGTGTAACACTCTACATTCTGTTTACGTTATTATGCTATAAAAATTGACTTCTCTTTAATTGGCCTCTGTTTTTTCATTATTATTCTTAATTTTTGTCGTTATCACAAACGCAAACATGACAGTGAAGTTCACGTCTTTTCTTCATTTCGAAGTAAACTTAGTGGCCCAAACAGCTGATATAAGATCATAGGATACAGAAACACTCATCAACATACTTCTGTTCAGCTATTTTTCTTACTTCGAATGACAAGTTTTCAATCGGTTAGCTGATCAAAGATTACATGGCAGAGGAACACTTGCCAAGATAATTTTGTTCACTTCGTCTGTTTACTTCAAAACAAACGTTTTAAATCAGTCAGCTGATTGAAGATCATATGGCAAAGGAACATCTTTAAAAAAAGTTATCATTCACCTCTTTTCCGCATTTCAAAGTCAACGTTGTGATCGGATCAGCTGATCAAACATTACATGTCAAAAGAACATGCATAACGATGTGTCTGTTCCCCGCTTTTATTAATTTTCAAGTAAGGTTGCAACTCCATCAGCTGATCGGAGGTCACATGGCAAAGAAATCTTCATCAATATATTTTTGTACAACTCTTTTGTGCACTTTGAAGGTAAATTTTCGATTCCAACAGTGGGTTGATGATCACATAACAAAAAAATACTTATTAGCAAAATTCTCTTCACCTTTTTTGCCTACTGCCAAGCAGACGTTGAGATTAAGTTAACTGTTCGAACATCGTATGGCAGAAAAACACGTTGAAAAAGACTTCTGTTCACATGTCTTGTCCATCTAGAAGTGAACGTTGCGACTCCGTTAGCTGATTGAAGATCACATTATAAAGCAACATTTGTAATCAGAATTCTGTTCACTTATTGAGTTCACTTCAAAGCAAACGTTGCGACTGGATTATCTGATCGAAGACTCAATGGCCAAGGAAAATTCATTACGAAAATTGTGTTCACCTCACTTGCTCACTTCGAAGCAAAAGTCGAAGCTTGATTAGTTGGTCGAAGGTCACACGACAAAGCAACATTACTCATAATACTTCTATTCACCTGTTTTTCTCACTTCAAAGAGAGCGCTGCGGCTCGATTACTTGATCGAACATCATTTATCTAAGGTACACCTCCGAAAAGACTTCTGTTCACATGTTTCATTAATTTAGAAACCAAAGTTGTAAGTTGAATCGCTTAATCTAATATCACATGGCGAAGAAATATCCTTCAAGAGATTTCTGTTCACATATTTTGCTGATTCCGAAGCGAACGTTGCGACTTGATCAGTAGATCAAAGATCAGATGGTAAATGTATATTTATAATCACATTTCTGTTCACCTCTTTAACTTTCGTGAGAGTAAACTTCGGAAAAAGGTCAGCTGGTCGGACGTCATATGGCAAAGAAACATTCATCAACATTTTCATTTTGGCATATTTTCATCATTGCGAAGCAAAAGTTGTGGCTTGCTTAGTAGAGAGAACATCACATAACAAAGGGACAGTCACTACGAGACTTCTGTTCACTTCATTTGCTTCTTTCGAAGAAAACGTTGCCACCCGATTAGCTGTTCCAAGACCATACAGCAGTGGAACATTGACGATGAGACTTCTGTTCAATCCATTTGCTTTCTTCAAAGCAAACTCTATAATACAGTCTGCTAATTAAAAATCACATGGTAATGGAACATTCATAACGAAACTTTTGTTCATCTTTTATGCTAACATCGAGGGAAGGATTGCGACCTGGTCAGCTAATCCAGTGTAACAGGGCAAAGGAACGCTTAGCAGCATAATTCTGCTCACCCATGACGCTCACTACGAAGTACAAGTTCCGACTCGGTCAGCTGATCGTAGACAACATGGCAAAGGAATACTCATCACTATAATTCTATTCACTCCTTTTTGTTCACTACGAAGCAGAAATTTCGACTCAATCATCTGATTGAAAATGATATTACAATGGAACACCCTCAAAAACAGTCCTATACACATCTTTAACACATTTTCAAGCAAACGTTGCGATTCTACTCTCTAAAAAAAAACAGTATTCTCGGAAACCAAGGGAGAAAGGTTTCCGAGTGTTCGGAAACCCATTTCTTGCCCTCGAGAACCCTTTTATCGGTTTCCGAGCTTTCGGAAACCCATTTTTTACCCTCGGAAACCCTTAAAACGTTTCCGATAGTAACAA